GGTGTGTTAGTCGAGTGGCGAATAAATTGGTCGTCTGTTGTGATTGCAGCTTTTCGACGTTAAGCTTTCCTTGCATTGTTGGGCGCATATTTCTTGCTGCACAGAGGCGGGTGCGTATCTTGGTTACAACAAGATAATGGTCCGAGTCACAACATGATCGATTTGGTTTCTCGTTTTTCGATCTGCAGACAGCCTTGTAGCTTGATGGATCTTTTTATGTTGGATCCTAGTACTACATATTACCATGTTTCGGGCCCCGGCGAAGTCGATCAGCCTCAGTCCGTTATCGGACATTTCGTCGTGGAGGCTGAATTTTACGACAGTGGCGCCAAAGGTCCCTTCCTTGCCCACCTTGGCATTAACATCGCCGAGCACGATTTTAACATCGTGTCGCGGTCAGCGCTCATATGTACGCTCTAAGCGCTCATAGATGAAATCCTTGGACGCCTCGCTCCGTCGGGGCATGGGCGCAGATGAGCGAGATGTTGAAGAATCGAACTTTGATGCGGATTGTGGCTAGACGTTCGTCCACCGGGGTGAACGCCTGTACTCGGCGATGGAGTCTCTCTCCTACCACGAATCCAACACCGAATTTGAGCTCCTTTACGTGACAACTGTAGTAGACGTCGCAAGGCTTCACGCTTACTTTACTTTGCCCATCCATCGCATTTCTTGGATGGCGGTGATGTCACCCTTTGTCTTTCCGGGGACATCAACTAGTCAGACAAAGGCACCTTCCTCATTAAGGGTTCGGATATTCCAGGTGCATACCCTCAAATCGTAGTCCTTTATACGTTTGCCGTGGTAGTAATCAAAAAAGAGGGTCTCATCCGAGGCTTGTTGGAATTTTTCATTGGGTGAGATATACATACCTCATAAGTGGGCGGTGCCACGCTTATTTTCCTAAATTGTATCATAAACGTGGTTTTTGTTAAAGAGTTATTGCAAACATCAATTTTGAATAAATTAGCTTCTGTATTTAATGATTTATCGAAGATTTCGTATTTCTCTAAATTACCGCTATATGAGATGTGGGCGTGGTTATTGTCCGATTTTATAAAATTTCAACCGCGTGCTATGTTGTACCAAGGCTAACAACTGTGCTAAGTTTGGGAGAAATAGGTGTAGAGGTTACCAAGATATGCGCATGTAATCATAAGTGGACAAACGGACGGACGGAGACAGTCATGGCTTAATCGACTTCTTTTTTCATTCTGATCATTTATGTAAACATTTGTCTATATCCATCTCGATTCGTTTTGGCTGTTGCAAAGCACCGTTATGTGAACAAAGTTATAATACCCTTTTGCACAAGTGCGCTCGGGTATAAAAATATATTGTACGATACACATGACAACAAAACGGTAATTGCAGCCAATGAAAATAAAATGAGTGCGCAGTGCACTGGAAAAACTGATTTGATCTTACTCGGCGAGCAAAGAAATAGAAACGCAACGTGCGCCAAATGACAAAAAGTGGATAAAAGTGAGTGTTTTCGGAAGCCCAATGCAGGATATATGACGTAAATAAGCAGCTAATGGCAATTGCTATTTTTGAAAGCGATTTATATAAGTTGCAGTGCCACACAAAATTGCAAAAATTTCTATTAATAAAAAACAACTTTGAATTGTGGCATCGGAGAAAGGGTCATGTGTGTAGCAAAACTTTAGAGAGTGTAAACAAATTCGCAGCGGATATTAAATCAAGCAAAAATGCTGACTTCCAGTGTAGAACATGTTTAAAAGCCAAGCAAACTCGAAACGTGAATGTGGAAAGTGGCACTCGGGCAACGAAATTTCTCGAAATAGTGCATCCTGATGTACTAGGACCGTTGAAAAACAAATCGTGTTCTGGTACAAGATTTTTATTGTCGTTCATCGATGATTTCTCACGAAAAGTATTTGTGTACTGAATCAAATACAAGTATGAAGTATTCGATAAGTTTAAAGGCTTCAAAGTTATGGTCGAAAATCAGTGTTCCTCAAAAATTAAAATTTTACGTACAGATAATAAAACTGAATACGTAGACAAGCATTTTGATCGTTTCATTAAGGAAAACGGCATTCTGCACCAGAAAATATTTCCTTATACCCCCGAGCAGAACGGGGTTGCGGAGAGAATGAACCGCACATTCATAGAGCGTGTACGCTGTATGCTGATCGACGGTAAACTTAACCAATGTTTCTGGGCAGAGGCTGGTCTGAGAGCAGCTTACCTTACCAACCGTATTCCATGCAGGGGAAGCGAAATTTGTCCTGAAGAAATTGTGAGTGGCAGAAGACCGAACTTCAAATTTTTGCGTCTTTGGCTGTACTGTACGTGCCAAAGGAAAAAATGCACAAATTGGCAGAAAAATCCGTGAAGTGCATTATGGTTGGATATAGCCCACAAAGCAAAGCTTATCTATTGCTTTACCCTAAAAATAATGAAATAATCACAAGTGAAGATGTTGTGTTTTTGAAAATGGTGTTCGCAGCAAGAGGTACAGATTTTTTCCAGACATTTGCACTGGTATTTAGTACGTTACGAGTCCATACCTCAAATTGTGTTGTTGTGTTTTTTAAGTGTTGAAAACAAAAATTATTATTATCTGTTATATTGATTACATTTATTTTGTTTGAAATTTACGAGTTTTTCACTGTATTCACTTTTTTTGGCGTCTCGCCGACTATTTATAACCTTTCGTTTCTTTTTAACGATTATCGTCTCTCTCTCGACTCCGTTTATTGTTATAAAATTGCAAACTAGACGAAAGGAACGTAACGATCAGCTGTTTTCGTGTTGACAGACGAAAAAAAATTACATAGTACCATTTGACGAACGATTCGTGCGGCAGACGAAACGAACGCTCGTTTCGAGATACATGATGAGGCTGTTATTCTTTCTTCTTAATAAAAGTATTGAGAACAACAAAGTTCCTATAAAAAGTCTAGACATCAACATCGTCGGCAGGTATCATATCAAAGAACATACAACTATACGCTAGAGATGTAGATGTCGAATCGCCGGAAGTAGTTAGATATTGCGCCTAAAAATATGCACTACATACGCCACAGCGTAAATGGATGACACGCCATATCTTTAAATGAAATTAATTGGTGCTCGTATGTATGCACATTAGGGTGGTCCAAAAATGTATGGGAGAAAAGTAAAATCGGAAATTTAATGCTCTCACCCCCTAGGATTGTTCTATACCGAAAAAAAGTATACCCCTGTTTTTTTT